GTAAAAACAAAACAGAAGTATGTATAAAGATTGACAATGGAAAAATTGAGGATGTTAATGAAATCAAATTTGTGGGTGCGATACTGGATAATAAACTCAGTTGGAAGCCCCACATTAGACACATACAAACCAAAGCAGCAAACAACATTGCAATTATGAATAAAATGAAGCAACTGTTGGATTGTAAATCACTCCATATTCTGTATTGTTCATTAGTTCTGCCATATCTCACTTACTGTATAGAGCTTTGGGGAAACAATTATAAAAATGCACTACACCCACTATCAGTATTGCAAAAAAGGGTAATACGTGTCATTCATAAAGTTAGGTATCTGGATCATGCAAATTCTTTGTTTTTACAGTCAAAATACATTAAACTTCAAGACCTGGTTCATTATCAAACAGCTCGAATCATGTTTAAAGCTAGTAAGCACTTATTGCCACCTAATATTCAAAAGCTCTTCAACCAGAGTGATGAGGGATATCATTTACGAAGGACTAACATTTTTAAAATGCCTAGGATAAGAACCACTAAAAGGAGTTTCTGTGTATCAGTATGTGGTGTGAAACTGTGGAATGGGCTGCAGGAAATACACAAACAGTGTCCAAATATAAACAAATTTAAATCACTGTATAAAAAAATTATAATTAATGGATATGAAAATTAGGTTCTCTGAGGTTATGGAAACTATGATATTGTCATTATTATTTTGCTGTTGTTTATTATTGTCATTGTTGTTATTATTATTATTACTATCACTAGTACCATAAAATGTTAATGCAAAATGCTCTTATTAGTAGCTGCATAATATATATATATATATATATATATATATATATATATATATATATATATATATATAAAAATGTGTGTGTGTGTGTGTGTGTGTGTGTGTGTGTGTGTGTGTGTGTGTGTGTGTGTGTGTGTGGATGGTTGGATGGATGGATGGTAACTTGTAAAGTATATTAGTAATGTGAGACAAGGGGGTGGGATTGAATAAGCACTTGCTTCTTCTTACTCCCTTTGGACAAAGACTTCTTTTTTATTGGTATATCTTTTCTTTTCTACTATGTTCATTGGTTATTTTTTTTTAATATTTTGTTTTATGTTCAAATAAACGTTTCAATCAAAAAAATTGATTAGTTGAAGGAAAAAAATATCTGAAACATGTCCTTGGTGAAGCATGGCATGCTTTTATTTTGACGTGGCTTATTTATTTGTGGGCTGTTTCTGCTGTGATGAAATCAATTTGTGTCATTTTAATTTTAAAACAAGTTAAACTGGGAGATTTCCCATTTAGCTGAGATATGATTAGTGAGGAGCATAAGTGCATCCTCTGTGAGACTCTGATGTATGAGCTCCAGCTTCGGCAGCCACATCTATGGCACTCTGAGTCCTCTGGCTGAAGGTACAGCCTCTGAATCAGGCCTGATCATGAGTTAGTCATGAGACAAAGTGGTCCTCGCTTCAGGAAAGGATTAGCATAAAGATTATTTATTGCAGGAGGAAGTGCGAATGTTTCTGGACTCTGTGTAGCCGAGCTGGACATAGAGCTGGATGGACCAGAGGTCCAGCCTTGCTGCTTGTCTTTATCACACTGAAATTCTTTCACAATCTTTGAGCCCTTTACTGATATTCTGCACAGTGCAGGGATAATAAACCAACTCCCTTCAGTCTATCTTTAAGAACTTGGTTTTAAAATAACACTCTAATTTTTTTTTCACATCTTGAGCTCATTTTTGCTCTTTGAAAGCTTGAGCTTTTATAACTGATACTTGATCTGTGTCAGATCATTGGTTAATAACAATTGTTAGGAAAGAAATTGTTGGAAAAAACATTTAAAGTTTCAAATCTCTACTAAAAAAATAATTAAATCCAGAAGATAAAGTTACCAGCTCAGTGGCCTGGTGGTATAGTGTCCACCCTGGGAGATTGGGGTTCGATTCCTGGTCAGGTCATCCCAAAGACCCAATGCCTCCCTGCTTGACACTCAGCTTTAAGGGGTGGGGGGTTCAAACCACCTAATAGTTCCCGAGCGCAGCCACAGCTGCAGCTCATCGCTCCCCCCCCCATGGGGATGGGTCAAATGCAGAGATGAATTTCTCCATTGTGCGATGATGACTATGGGACTTTAACTTTAAGAAATATTAAGATTTGCTTTTGTGTTATCAGCTGACACCAAAAGACTGTTTTTATTCAAATGTCAGAGCAATTGTCAGAAAACCTTTGGGCTCTGTAGATCGAAGATTAGCAAACGCATAAAAGAAAATACTTTAACTCAGTTTTGATGCTATTGAGCTTAAACTGCCAGATTTGTCTTCGAATCAGTGTTTTCTAAGCAAATCCATTGTTATTATTATAGATGTTGCAAATAATAATATTTTTGTGTGACCAGAGATTTTGCTTTCTGTAGGTTTTGAATCACATTTTGTTTTTGTTACTGGAAATGATCAGCGGGCGCGCAGAGTGTGTTCAAGGTTTGGTTCAGTCTACATGAAACACTGTTTTTACTCCAAGGTGACAGCTCCTGTTTAGCTGACAAGGCTGCAGCTTCACACACACACACACACACACACACACACACACACACACACACACACACACACACACACACACACACACACACACACAGTGCAGGCTGTTTACTCATGTGTCTCAGCTGTTGGGTGTAATAAGCTTCTGCGAGACAGCTGGGGAGGGTGGTGTCGTGTTGTTCGTGGTGTGTGTGTGTGTGTGTGTGGGTGGGTGGGTGTGTGTGTGTGTGTGGGGGGGGGGGGCTTCCTCTTCAAATCACGTTTGTTTGTGCTGCAGAATTATTGCACCACCTGCTGGTTCTCCTTCAGACCTGCTGGTGTCTCCTCACTCCGGCAGAAACTCCATTGCGGAAGAAAAAGCTTTTCTCCTTTGCTGCAGCTTCACCTGTGAGGGTCACTCAACCTGCAGATGTCAGCTGTTTTCTGAGTTCCTGTTAGCTCAGATTAGATGATGCTGAGGCATCAGAGTTGCTGCTGTCAGCACCGTCAAAGTCAAACACATCAGCAAACTCTCTTTTGATGAACTCAGCTACATGCATGTTATAAAGACAGGTGGACATCCATGTTTTCTGTCTGCTTTGGAGGTTATAATATGTTACAGATACATGACTGGATCATACATTTAAAATCTTTAGTTAAGGACTCAAATTTAACTGGACCAGTTACTATAACAACTTTATCTTAATGATTTAATTATTCCTAATATAAACTAATGTCATGAAATGTACAGTAACTGTGCTACTGGATCAAACTGTCTGATGTAATACATTTATTATAGTTGAAATTAAACAAAACTATATATATATATATATATATATATATATAATTTAATTGTTTTACTACCATTATAAATTAATTATAACCATTCAATGAGCCAAAACTCCAAATAGAACCTGGGAATTAATTCTCAAAAATCAAGATGAAAGTTTCTTTTTCCATTAAGGTCACCACACACACACCTGTGTTCCTCATTTCCTGATGGGAATCTTCAAAAAACAGTGAGACAGAAAAGCAGACTAGGAATTAAACCTCAAGTAAGCAGAGTCCTTTTTCTTTTTTTACATATCCATCAAGTGGTCACACCTATTTGTGTGTGTGTGTGTGTGTGTGTGTGTGTGTGTGTGTGTGTGTGTGTGTGTGTGTGTGTGTGTGTGTGTGTGTGTGTGTGTGTGTGTGTGCGTGCGTGCGTGCGTGCGTGCGTGCGTGCGTGTCACAGTGTTTTAATGTAGAAGATGTGCAAAGCATCTAAGAAGTAAATCAGAAATCATGACAGAAACAGAATATTGTTTGATGGACGGTAATGCAGAGACCCGTAAATGATGCTGTTTCGTTTGTTACATCAAATTGTTTTTATGCAGGTGAATAGAGGTAAAATAAAATTAGAAAAAGATGCTAAAATCAGTCAGTACTCTCAAGTATTTGCATTCATACATATTTTGGTGAACAGCAATGTTTTCTTTACTAGCCTCAGTGTTGCAGAGCCTAGCTAGCCATCCTATATATGTGAATATTTAGTCTGGCCACAACCCAGAGAAAGCGCTCAGTCATGGGGCCAAATCTATGGTAGTCTTTAAAACTGTCCCCACATGCTTTTGGACTGCAAACAATGGCAAGACACGAGACTGTTCTGGGCTGCTGAGGCTCCAATGGAGGATGGCTAGACCGACATCCAAAGTAAAATACTTCTGCGTGGTTGTTTGTGGAATATTCCAGTTGTTTCTTATGCATTAGCTGGGAGCTGCTTTGGCTACATGTTGTGTGGCAACTTAAGGTCCTGTAAATCACCTTTTATCAGCTAACCTTATGAACAAACACTGAAGGAGAAGCCCACACCTGCCCTGTAAACTGCTGCGTTGTTTGCTAATGGAAAAAAAACATGGAAGGAATTATTATTCAGTGATAAATCGGGTAGATCTAAACTAGTTGGATGTCTGATTTTAACTGTGGTGCCATGGTAATGAACATCTCTTTCCTCTACTCTCTCTCTCTCTTTTCTGACCTTGAACATAATGCAGCTCAGTGTGTGTCATCTGCAGTGTGATGCGTTCTCATCCAACACTCAGTGTGTGTTCATAAGAGGAATCACAGCCTGTTGTTTCTGAAATTAAACCGCCTGCTTCCTCTTAGCTGTGATGGAAACATAAAGAGAGAAAAAACTCTGAATTAAATGTCCAGCAGCAGTTTAGAAGAGTTGGATCAGACTTCCTGACTGCAGGAACAGCTTGAGTTTTAGGAAGTTGGTTTCTCTCCGGTAGCTCACACGCTGGTGTTCTGCCCAGTCACGGGTTTTTGTTCCCTCCTTCTGATGAACGCTTGACCAATCAGCTGATGTGTCTTAAAGGGAAAATGAAAAACTTTAAATATCAATAACAGAATGAATGTTAACTCTTAAGAGGTGAACTAAAACAATAAACCAGATCTATTCTCTGTCTGCTCCTCCTCCTCCTCCCCCTTCTCTCTCTCAGCTGTTACCCCTCCTCCCTCCCCATCCGTGGCCTCCCCCCCTCCACGCCGCCTCTCTCTTAAGAGGTTTTCTCTGTTCTCTCGTTTCCCAGGTAAACATTCGCATGGGTCAGAGGAGGGTAGGGGGGTCCTCTCAAGGATTTGATTAATTTTCTTTTTTTAAATCATCTCTACAGTCCTGATCCAGCAAGTCTGACTATTATAGTTGTTGAAGTCACATCAGGTCAGAACAAACATCTAAGCTAGCTTTTGTAGCTGTAAGGTGCAATAAATAACTTTGTATGTCCATTAGTGGTGATTAGATAGTAGATTAGCTCTTTAATGAACACAAACACACATAAGCTCAGTCGCAGGATGAAACTTTCTGATCGTAGAAGACAGCTTGCTGGATGGGACTCTTGATGCTGCACCCTGTAAATGTAACCCTGATCAGATTAACACCCCATTAAACCACTGATTCCAGGTCAGATGCTTTTCATCACTCCTTCACCTGCAGAAGGAGCAGGTGGATCTGACACCTGGTTACGTGAATAGTTCCACACTTTAACAAATATGCTTATTTACTCTCATACAGCATGTCCCTGTGTGGGTGTAGTAATCAGAGCTCTTAGCTGAGGTCCAGCTGCTCGTGTTCATTAGACCTCCTCGGTCAAAGCCTGATGTTTGAGGTAAAGATCTGGGACTGGGAGATCGGTGTTCAAATCCACGATTGGGTCATACCAAAGACTTTAAAAATGGGACCCAATGCCTCCCAAATTGACACTCAGCTTTAAGGGGTTGGATTGGGGGATTAAACCACCAAATAGTTCCCGAGTACAACCACAGCTGCAGCTCACCGCTCCCCATGGGGATGGGTCAATGCAGAGATGTAATTTCACCAGTGTGTGATGACTACTGGGACTTTAACTTTTACAAACACATGGAAAGGTGAATTTTCCAGATTTCTGGGAGCTAACGCTCGGTTTCACTGTCTGTTTTATTTTAATCTGATATTCTGGGTAACTTACAGCTGCGTCTCACAGCAAACTGGATGCCTGAGGGACGAGTAACACGATTGGGCCGGGTTCACACGGCAGGAAAATGAAGTTGACTCACTGCTCACCTTCTCAGATAATCTTACCGTGTGTGGGGTGTCAAGAGTGCTCTGGTCTGCTCGGAAGCACTTCGGGACCGCTCCCATCGTGATTTTGAATAAAGTCAACCTTTATTTATATAGCACATTCAAACGGTAACTTCATTACCCTGCCCTGAGTGCTGTAGAAAAAAAAACTATTTAAAAACCGTAACCCTCCCACTGTCTTTATGGGTGACCCCGCGAGGAAATTTGACCATTGAGCAGGGTTGATGGCTTATCCCTTGAGGTCCACATGGCAGGGGTGAGGTGTGAGCACCACCTCACTGGTGGATCTGACACCTGGTTACGTAAGAGGAATCACAGCCAGTTGTTTCTGAAATTAAACAGTTGGTTTTTATCTGCCACGTGGACCCTAGGGATAAACCATCAACCCTGCTCAATGGTCAGCTTTCCTCGTGGGGTCACACCCATTAGGACAGTGGGAGGGTTAAAAGCCAACGGAGCATTATAAAAATGTAAAGCCACAGGCTAGTAAAGCTTTAAAACATGTCGGAGTTGTTTTTAAATGTTCTGATTTCGGGAGCAAAGGAACGTATTGTCTAGCCAATCAGGGAGTGAGTTGATGGAGGCGCACCTGCACGCTCCTCCTCCATATTTGCTTACTTCAAAGTCACGTTTAATTTCTTGAGATTTCTCGCATGACCATGCAATAGGTGTTAATGTAAAGTTTAATTACTTTACACGAACCAGAACGGGTGTAGCCGTGACTTTTCCTTCACCGCTTCTGTGATCTCATCATTTGAAAATTGTCCAACCAATTAAATCTCCTGCTGTGTTAACAAGACTTCAGTTGGTTTTTATCTAGATATTCCCACCCTCATAAATGTTCCATAGTACTTTAACTGTTTCACCTGGGATTAAACTCTCATTCTTTTTATCACTGAGGCAATAAAGTGTTTATAGATGACACAAATGTCTACTCATACTGTTGACCATCATCGGGTGTCTGTCTGATATAATTGGTGTGATGTTCTGTGGTTATGGATGGTCCTCTGTCATCTCTGCCAAATAAAAAGTAATTGTCATCACAACTATGGCAGCATTTTAGGAAGATGTTCTTTTTTATTATTTTGAGTGTAAATTATTCTAGTTGATAAAAGAATGGAAATAATATTCCTAGATTAAAGTTAAAATGTTGAGAAAAAAGTAAAAAATCTTAGATTATTTCAGGAACATTTGGACCTGCTTTTTTAAATAATTATTTTACTGTAACTAATGGTTCTGCATTGGCTTTTAACGGGATAAACTATAGAATAAAAAACAAGGATCTTTTTAAAAAAAAAGTTGAGGTTTGGTTTACAGCAGCTCCAGTTCAAGATTTAAAGTCCTTCACATTAAGAGTCTAAAACATGCACAGATACTTGAAAATAGCTAAATGTATAAAATATTTATCATTATCATTATTATTACTATTATTGTTGTTTATCTGCAGTATGATTACAGACTAACAAAGGGTGTCAGAGGACTTATTTACAGGTTGTATAAGTTGCATTGTTTATACTCAAACGATTTATTTATTACAAAACCTGTTCTATATTATAAATGCATTCTGGGTATTTGTGCTAGGGCGACTTTAGTTTTAATTCCAATGTTAATCCCAAAATTACTTTTATATTTTAAATTTCTACATTATTCTTTAAATATTCTTTAGACATTTTCCCAACACTCTGGTCTCATTCTTGGAATCAGTACACAAAAGTGAATTTTCCTCCATTTTTTCCCTCAGAGTAGCCCTAAAATCACTTTATATACTCCAGCTGTGGAGAAACAAAAGATTTGCAGACTAAACCTTCAGATATGTTTGTTAGCTTCAATTTAAAATTAAAGTTGTATATTAACATTTAAGCAGACAAGAACTAAAGTCCGTATTTGGTGTTAATGAGTGGATTTGGTCACCAAGCTGACAGTCTCCAGCTAGTTGCTAGGTTAAGCTCGTTCTAAAACATTTGGGCGTATTTTATTAAAATGGTGAACTATTCCTTTAAGCCTCCTCATGTGATCTCACTTCCTAAACTCCTCTGATCATCACCAAAGCTCTAATACAGCCATCACCTAAACCAGCCAATCAGAGAGGGTTATTCTCATTATGGCATGGCCTGTGTGTTTCACACTCATCTCAACATCATCAGTGCTCATTCCATGTTTTGCAGTGGGTTCCTCACTCTCTTCATCCAGTATGCTGCACTTTTCCCTGTTTTTCTCCCTCATTTTGTTTTCCTCATCATGTGTTTTCTTTTGTTACTGCATCTTTTTACCACTACTGGGTTTTTACTAGGTAATTCTTACTTCTCTTCTCTGTCGATCCCCAGAATTCCGTTCCCCGTCACACGGGGGCAACCTCAATCGCTCGGCCTCTCTGAGCTGCACAGAGCGCGCTCCAGAGGGCAGCTCCATCAGTGGGAGCAACACTCAGATCCCAGGAACCCCGTTCCAATATGTACCAGACTTCAGCGTCCGAGCACTCGCAGATCTTCAGTTCGTTAAGGTACAACTCACGCGTGTTGTTTTATTAACCCTTATATGTCCTACGTGCATTTTTTTTTTTTTTTTTTTTGCACAGACAGGTGTATTTTGGTGGTTAAATTTGGCTATGCTACTGCAATCTATCTTTTTTGGGGGGAGAAATGTGTATTTTAGGGGGAAATATCAAAAATAATTTTTAATGTGACACTGAAATAACTTTGTAGCGTTACCACCCTTAGTGCGTTTTTTGCGCCACTCCTATGTAACTCTATTTTTTTTCTAGTAAGCCTAAACATTGTATATATATGTATATATGTATGTATATATGTATATATATATATATATATATATATATATATATATATATATATATATATATATATATATATATATATAATTATTATTATTCTGTCTGGGTTCTTAGGGCAGTTGCAGACTCAATTTTGAGTTTTTTACATTTTCCACTAGATTGCGCATTTTTCTTATGTATACTGGGGAAATAACTAACGCTGCATTCAAATAAAAAACATTTTATGAAAATATTTTTATGACCATTAATGACACTCCAATGTGTTGAAAATTCAACCATAAAACAAATCATCTGGACATCGTCGTTGTCGTCGTCGTCTTCCGCTTATCCGGATCCGGGTCCGGGTCGCGGGGGCAGCATCCCAACTAGGGAGCTCCAGACCGTCCTCTCCCCGGCCACCTCCACCAGCTCCTCCGGCAGGACCCCAAGGCGTTCCGGGACCAGATTGGAGATGTAACCTCTCCAACGTGTCCTGGGTCGACCCAGGGGCCTCCTGCCGGCAGGACAAGCCCGAAACCCAAAATACCTCCCCAGGGAGGCGTCCAGGAGGCAATCTGACCAGATGCCCAAACCACCTCAACTGACTCCTTTCGATCCGGAGGAGCAGCGGTTCTACTCCGAGTCCCTCCCGAATGTCCGAGCTCCTCACCCTATCTCTAAGGCTGAGCCCGGCCACCCTACGGAGGAAACTCATTTCGGCCGCTTGTATCCGCGATCTCGTTCTTTCGGTCATTACCCAAAGCTCATGACCATAGATGAGGATTGGGACGTAGATCGACCGGTAAATCGAGAGCCTGGCTTTCTGGCTCAGCTCCCTCTTCACCACGACAGATCGGTTCAGCGTCCACATCACTGCAGACGCTGAGCCGATCCGCCTGTCGATCTCCCGATCCCTCCTACCCTCACTCGTGAACAAGACCCCGAGATACTTAAACTCCTCCACTTGAGGTAGGACCTCTCTCCCAAGGGCGGAAATCCCATTTCAATTTTGGGGGGGACAATAAACAGTAAAACTTCAGAGAGTAATTTTTGGGGGGGACATGAAAAAAAAATGCTCTCTACATACAACACTGTATGTCCTTATTAGAGACTGACCTGTGACTCTGTGCCTGTGTCTGACAGGCTCTGGCTGCCTGTGCTCAAGTGACTGGACTTTGCCTAATGAAACCATTTAGAAACAATTTCATAGGCATTTCATTTCTTTCTTATAGATGTCTTTATCAAAATGCAAGTTTCTACTTACTTGACATTCTGGAGCATTAAAAAACGACATGATGTCTGCCGTTTTTCGTTTCTCTACCATTTCAAATGACCTGGTCTGCTGACAGTTGGACAGCAACACACACACAGATGGGATATTGTCATTAGAACGGAGCTGGAGGATATTGATCAACAATAATATCTTGCCAATTTTATACATCTCCATAAGCATCCTTTCTTTTTGTTTTCATTTCAATAACAAGACTGTGGCCTAAAACGGAATTCAGAATAAAGATTTAAAAGTAGATTGTTAATAGTTGAAGCAACATGTCCTGAAATGACATGGCTATTAGCTGACCAGCAGCTACACGTGTGGACGGATGCAAAGCATTAATTTTAAGTACTAAAACATATCTAACTTTTTCACAACAAAGAGCGAGAACATAAAATGCCAAATTAAAATTTTATTAAATCACATAACATGAAAGCTACTAAAATCCAAATAGTTCCATATTGATTTTAATATATTTGAAAATTTCCTTCTAAATATGTCTAGAAAAAATAACAAACTTCAAATCAGCTTTCACAAGTCAAGTATCAAAATGACTGAAATCTCTTTAATAAATCATAGAAATGTTTGTAGGCTATTAGAGAATAACTGTAATATTTAATAACTTTATCTAAGTTCTACTGAACAAAAAGATACACAAAATCTAAAAATATATTCTTGAAATATTCGTTTCATTTTAATAATAAAAATAGAAAACATTTACTTTACAAATACACTAAACATATTCATACTCTATAGTTTATCTGTCAGTTGAATCGATCTCTCACTTTTCTCAGTTTTCATAGTGTTTTTGGGTCTGTGTGGCCAACGGGATCTTTGGCTCTATGTTTTACACTGAGAGCTTTGAGCAACGTGCCTCCACCACACATTTGCTGCAACCAGTTCATCCCTAAGCTGCACGGTGCACCTGCACCTGCACATATTGTAAACAACTGCAGAGCCTGGGGAAGACGTGATAACAGCGGTTAAACGCTGTGGTTTTCCATACATGGGACCAGATAGTTTTGATTCTACCATATTCATCTGCTAAATAGGATGAAACGCGGACATTGTCATCAATCTATAAATGCTCCGCAGATTCCGGGGCAGACCGTGAAAGCGTACGTGTCCGGAAAAAGGAACTTTTGATCACCTTAGTGAATGGCATAATAATAGCGGAATAATCCTGGAATGACCAGAGAACATGAAGTGACAACTTTTTTTTTACTGTGGTGGTGGTGGTCTGTCATAGACAGAACAAGACTTGTAGAACAAGCGTGTGATAATTGACTTACTGCTGGAAACTGCTGGCTTTTTGATTCCCGCCTCCTGTGAGCCTGCAGGCTGCTGTGAAGCTGTGAGCGGGGCAGAGCCGGGGGGGGGGGGGGGGGCTATAATTTCTCAACAATTAAAAACACATTGTTTTGTATTTGCAGACTAAATTTTACGTTGTGGTTTTAGAAGACAATACAGGTTTACTGATAGCATTTATGTGTTTACAATAACTTTTGTGGGGGGGACAACTTTGTCCGAGACGGTACGGCTCCCATCTACCTGAATCCTCTTGCAAAGGCTTACGTCTCGGCCCGGCCACTCCGGTCATCACAGGATTGTCGGCTAGCAGTGCCTACACCACGCTCAGGACAATCCAGACTTTTCTCATGCATCGTTCCACAAATGTGGAATGACCTTCCTAACACTACCAGAACTGCGGCTTCCTTTTCTATTTTCAAGAAACTCCTGAAGACCCTGCTCTTCAGAGAGCATCTTCTTAACTAGCACCTTGTCTGCACCCGTCCCTCCTCTCTACTGTCCACTCCTTGTTCCCTCCTCTCCATGACTGATGTCAGTTTGTTGTTGTTACTATTGTTGTTAGCCTCAAGGGCAAAATGCTGATTATCACTTGTAAGTCGCTTTGGACAAAAGCGTCTGCTAAATACATAAACATAAACATAAACTTTGTGTGGGGGGACGCGTCCCCCCCGTCCTCCCTGGGATCTCCACCTATGCTCTCCCGACCCGGAGTTGGCAAGCCACCCTTTTCCGGTCGAGAGCCATGGTCTCAGATTTGGAGGTGCTGATCCTCATCCCAGCCGCTTCACACTCGGCCGTGAACCTACCCAGCAAGAGCTGTAGGTCAGAGCTGGATGAAACTTGGAGGACCACATCATCCGCAAAAAGCAGAGACGAGATTCTCCTGCCACCAAACTCGACACATTCCACACCACGGCTGCGCCTAGAAATTCTGCCAATAAGTGTAATGAACAGAACCGGTGACAAAGGGCAGCCCTGGCGGAGTCCAACCCTCACCGGGAACAGGTCCGACTTACTACCGGCTATGCGGACCAAACTCATGCTCCTTTGGTAAAGGGACTGAATGGCCCTTAACAGAAATGAAAAGACACAACATAAACACACCAACAAAACCATACACAACCAGTAGAAAATGCCTAGTACACCCAAAAGACAAGATATCAGCAGGACATAAGTGTGCTGGGGCGTTGTCAGTTTTTCTCCTGTCAGAATGTCCAAAGACGCATTTGGGCATTTGTTCGCCACTGTCCTGCCTCCATACTTCCTGGTTCCAAAGCCAATCATATGTGAGTCCACAGGGTTGCCAAGTCTGCACCAACGTTTGTGATTCGACACCGGCCTGCAAAAATTGGCAGCGTTTTGGAATAACTGTTAGAGTGGCCCAGGAGTTATGGCATCCCTTTGTTTTACTCTAATATTGGATTAAAAATGCTAGAGGCTAAAGTTGAGCTAATAATGCTAACAGTGAAAGTGAAAAAATTGTCAGCTCTAGAAATATCTCAGGCTCCCAACAAGTCAATATTACAGTGAAATGTATTTCTTTACTTATCAACTTACTGTGTATGACTCATCTTTGTTCAGATGTTTGTTGAGATGTAGCTGGTAGCTCTGAGCAGACTTTTGTTTTGGACTGCAGGATCCCAATTTGACCTCTGGATGTCATTCTTACTTCATGCACATTTAAGCTAAAGCATCTATCTTAGAGACCTATAGAACATTTTAATTTTTTGTTGACCTATACAACAACAAAAAGAGGCCAACAAGATTCTTAAGTGTAACATCACTGCTTTGTGATTCAGTGGCTGAAGGTAATTTTTGGTTTTGTCTCACCTTTATGGGAGATTCTGCATGAATTTGCTGCTGTTGAACCTTGGCTACCTTTATAGTCCACAGCCGTCTGTGAAACCAGGTGTTTTATACAACAATAAGACTATCCTAGTCTTTACTTATGTGAACCACTACCACTAATGCCCATTGCATTCAGACACTCCTCAGGTTACTACACTAGATTTGCCACTGTCCGTGTGCCCCAGGGCAGCTGTGGCCACATTTTAGCTCATCACCATCAGGGTGTGAGTGTGTGTGTGTGAGTGGCTGAATGAAAACTGTAGTGCAAAGTGCTTTGGAGTCCTCTGACTCAGAGAGGTGCTATACAAGTGCAGGCCATTTATCATTTAGATCAGGGGTATTCAATTAAAATTTCTGTTTGGCCAAATTGTCCTGAGACTTTTCCCAGTGGGCTGCTCATTTCCGTGTACTCCATCTTTTGTTTTACGACATTGTCTTTTCTTTTTAGTCAGTGTGCGTGCAGTTCAGAGAGATGTTGTAGCTTTCCTGTGTCACTCTCCTGAGTCTGGTGCATATTCATTATCAAATTTGGCGTGAGTCGTCTTAAAATGCCTCCACACATTGTATTCTCTATCTTCTGAACAAATCACATGACAGACAAGGAACATGGGTTTTCTCTGCATTTTGTATCTGTACAGTTTTCTGTTTTTGCTGTCAACCTTTTGTCTCCTCTTTTTTGGATGCAACTGTTTTTTTCCAAAAAGCTGCTGTTGTAAACTTTCCATCAGCAGCATAAGGGATGGAGCTGCATGCCTTAAAATGTCACAAGATGTTGTAAACTGTCACGCTTACAGTTAAGTCGTAGCTATCAAACAAAGAATTTACTAAGAGGTATGTGGGCAATGAGCCGGTCCAAAATGACTAAAGGGCCAGTTCTGGCCCTTGGGCCGCCTGTCAGCAAATTTAGATACTTCTCATGACAGGATAGATGTTGGGACTCACTGACAGAAGAACTAAAACCTTCTGGACACTTATAGTCTCTTGTTTACCATTCGTTTGTCCTCTTTAGGTCACGAGAGCTCATTACCAAAACGCTGTCCTGGCGTCTCGGCTGGATAGCACGCCTCAGTCTCCTGAAGGCAGCCATGCTCACCTGGACATATCTGTGTCTTTGCCTCCTGTGACACCACCAGGGACACACACCCCACCTCTGCTGGCCACGCCTCCTGTAAAACACACATCACCCAACACTCAGTCGACCCCCCAGGGCAGCCGTGCCACCTTCTTCATCAGTTCCTCCATCTCCAGCCGCAGGCCGAGTCAACCTCTACCCCAACCCATCGCCCCTCCCAACAGTCACTCCTCTCTCTCCCAAACATCTCCCTCCTCTGTGAGCATGGTGCCCTGCCCCATAAACCCACCGGTGATGACCTCTCTGTCCTCCAAGTCCCAGCCGTCCCCTCCCTCTGACAGTCCAGAGAACGGTCACGAGGAGACCACCACTCTGCTCAGTGAGCAGGAGCAGCAGCAGAACTGCGTGGGCCCCCGTCGGTCCATCCACGCCCAACCCCTTCCACATGTCCACTCTGTCAGTCACGCACACACTGAGAGCACCATCTAATCCCCACTAGAACCACAACCTAGTCACTCAGGCAATATGTCTGATTCTTGTGTCCCAAGCCTTCCTGGGAATGGAACATCTGGGAACATCTCCCAGACTTCAGAGATCCTCCATCATCCTCCCTGCCTGTTCCTCTCCCAGCACTGACTAAAGACCAAACAGCAACAGGAAACACTAGTGAGCATGTAGATGGTCAAGGATGTGTCTTCTTAAGTACATAGTCAACCCACTGGAGTTAGTTTTACCTGCACAGGTGAGAGGAAGAGTGAAGGTGAATGGAATCAAAAGTGTTGCTGCTCAAAATTTGGGAGTACAACATTTAGACAAAAAGAAACAACTAAGCCAAAAAGTTATTTTAACAACATTAATATAAACTTCCATTAGAAGTGATTGCCCAGACCACAGAAAGAGAGCCATCAGTGCAGCAGGTTGCTCCTCTTCTCCTGCCTTCTCCCTGGGATCACATGTACCACTGACCTGGAGCAGAGAGTAAATATTCCTGTAGATCCATTTTAGGTCGTCCCAAGAGAAAACGCAGTCCTGAGAGAATAATGTTTAAAGGGCAGGTTCACCAAAAAATAGATCATTTTTATTTCTTATTTTTGAAAACGATCAGTCGTTCTGAGTTTAACATGCAGACTAAACATGAAAACAGCTACTTTTCCCCCAGAATAGAAAGTATTCATTCTCACTCATCAGACCTAAACATACCATAGAATAATAATGAAACTGATTTATGCATTTTAAACTTCCAGATTTTCCAGGTTTTGAGCAACACAAGATTCCATTTACCTCCCATCACTCCATTTAGCCAAAACCATCTGGTTTATTTATTTATTTATTTTTAGAAATCGTCGCAAGTCAAACGACATCTTGTGGCACAGCTTGTTGTTCACTTACATGTTTTCAGTTTGTCACTATTTTGATGTTTCTTTTTCACCCAAAGATTTTAAACTTTCCAAAGTTAACCAGGATGCTTTTATTTACAGGGTTTCGGGTTCATCGCTTGTTGCCTGTTGGACTAGATTAGATTCTGTAAAACTGAGGTTTCTGAGTCGAGAACAAATATCAGTTTAACTACCAGCAAAGGGACCAGATTCACTGTAAGAGAAGGACTCAGCTAGCCTGGCAAGCCAGACTAAATAAATGTATTATTTAATAATACATTTATTTAGTCTGGCCATGCTCCATTGACGGCTCTCGGTTGTGGGGCGGGTTCTACCGTTGTCTTTCAAATGATCTCCGCATTCCACTGGAGAATGAATGTGACATACTCTTGTTTCACTCTGTTGCATCATCCCACCCACCAGGCATATAGAGTGCCCTGATTGGCCCACAAAGCGGATAAAGCTCTGTGATTTGTTCACCAAGCAGATAGAGCACTATGATTGGCCCACCATTATGGACCAATCACAACTCTTTATGTGTTTGAAACCCCTCTAGAGAGCTGTGATTGGCTAGCCAGAGTCCTGGTAGGAGCTGCGGAGGTTCCAATGGAGCATGCCTAGACCAAACTTTGCAAAGCAAGAATTTGGTCTAGTTCACTAGGCTAGGACTCAGCAGCATGATGCACCACTACTGTTCACCTATGTGAGGTCATTCAGCTGCAGACACTTCAGGGAACCACTGGCTTTTTAATCACGTCTCTTGTTATGTCAGAAAATTCAACCAGGGGTCCTGTTTTTAATCAGATCAGTCAAACAAGTTCAAACAATAACAAGGTAGGAGGCTCTTTTCTTTAATTCTTTAAACTGTCATTCCTACCCTCCTGCATGTCAGCAGACTTGTTTCTACAGGTCAGTCCATCTACTGGTCCCTGTACCTTTACTTTGTGAGGTATGTTTACAGTATGGGGCTGAGCATGCATTCTTGTCGGATGCCAGTGTTGTGAATAATTGCAGATAATGTTGATAAAACTTCTAAAACTCAGCTGCCAAGGCATTTTTGCCCCAACAGTAGCAGATCAAAGTATGCAGTGTAATTGTATTGAAAAGCAGACCCAGACTGGTTTTCCTTTAGTCATACTGGTGCACTCTTCATCTAGGCCAAAACCAGACATTCAAAAGAAATCCTGTACTAAATGGGAGCATGACGGTAAAAGCTCAAGATAGCTGTCTGCAGTGTTATTTTGCCACCTTGTTAACATTTTACTTTAAAATGAAAGCAAATCTTTGAGTTTTACATTTTAAAACTAAGGAAAATCTATTTTTAAAATTGATCAAGCACAAAATTGATGGCATATTTAAATCCAGCTGTACATATAAATGTTTTCAGATTTCAGTTTATTACTTGAGATTTTTTTTTAAATCCATTTCCAGAGTTTGCTTGAGTCTCCTTCCTTGCAGTGGTTCCCTGAAAGCTGCAGCCCGCAATACAAGAATAAGCTATAAAAGCGTATCTGTATCAGAGGAGTTACCATGTAAAACTGTTTCAGCAGGAATCTGACAGTTCTGGCTTACCTCCTGAAGGCAATATGTTTTATTTTATTTTTAAGAGAGACATGTAAATATTTAGTCTGTGTAAAGTAATAATTTATGCATGTTAGTTTTATTTTTTATTTAAAGTTATTTTTTTTCTATTTTGAGCTGACGAACAAGCCGTTTGTTGTACGTCTTCCAAACACCGAGCATTTCTTCTGAGTTTCCCTCACTGTGAAACGTTTACGGCAGCTTCAGTTCCTTCTTAAAGTCATGCAGCATCCAGAGAGCTGCAGAGGACCAGACCGGGTCCCCGGCCTGTTCTGGTGCAGCGGTGTGTTAAATTACACCGGGTCATTTAAAAAAAAAATTATTTCCACTGAGTTAGCTTTGGTTGAAGCTTGTTTAATTATCAACACAAAGACTAAGTACAAGAGAGGTGTTTACAGCTGAATGTTGTGTTTGCTGCATTTGGATCAGAAACATTCAGGGTTAACCAGGAAGTTGATTAAATGTTCCTTTTTCATGATTCTACTATTTGACGCAGTTTGCTGTTAGGAACACAGCTGTGATGCTCTGTTCTGCTGAAGCGCACAAACAAAACAGCTGTTTAAAACAAGTTGGCAGCTGGATGCCTTTAGTCTATGACGGTTGTTTATAAGCTGCTGTTTGTTTCGTATTTTCATTATTATTCATCCGCTCGGCAGAGTTATTTATTTATAATGAATAAATAACTCTGCTCTCTTTCTAAATCTGAACTTTTCATGTATGTTCATTATAAAACGTTGGTTTGAAAGTTATTTGGGATTTTATTCTCATGTTTGCACTGAGGAGGTACAAGATCAAATCTGTTCTGTCTGCTGTGTAATGTATCAGCACTACGGCAACAAATTTGGGTCAAGACCGACTGGAACATTGGTTGGACCGGTTTTGTCGGATGATGGCAAACAGACTTGGTCCAGTGGGATTGTTTTGTTGTGCCCAGGCCCGTCTTGAGACAAAGCCAGGTTCAAGGCAAACGGAGGGAACAAAAGCTACTAACATTGAATCTGGTTAACAGTACTGAGAATCGTAATCTTTTTGGAATTATTTGAAAATGCAGGGAAAAATTCCCCTGAACGTTTGGCCTGATAATACAAACATGGGGTGGGGGGGCAAAGCCACGAGTCAGATCTCACTTTGCTGCAGGTGTTGGAGACTAAATAGTAAAAAACGCACCCGTTTTCAGTTGAAATGATGCTGAACTGGTTACTTAAATATTTCTGCTTGTGTCCAAACAAATAAATTGCAACACTCTAGTGACATTAGTGAAAATGTCCGGCAGGTTTTCATGGTGCAGTTTATTCAAAGTGTGTAAATCTGTCATCATCTGTTTACCGTTCATCCGTACTGTTGCCAGATTCTCTGTTTTCATCTCCAACATGGGTTCATGTTGCATTTAAATGATTCCAGACACATGCTTTGACTCTGGGGCTTTTTAAAGGAAATTATTTTGAACAAGTTCACTATTCCCCATGAAGAACATTTTTTGAGCCCTCGCTAATGTTTCGAGACATTTCAGGTTATGTCATAATTGTTTTTTCTACATGTATGAAACTGTTTAACTGTAAAGATGAAGTTATTTTTGTTGAAAATGCTCAGAGATATTTATTTGAAAAGGTACCACTGTATAAGCTAGCACTGATGTGAAAAAACACTTGAGACGTGCAGGTTTCATAAAAAAATATCAAAGTGATTAGTCCAAAGGAATTAGACGTTTTGTGGGATTGAATCCAAAGTTCTGGAATACAAATCCTGCTTCAGCACACAAACGGTTCTAGATTCACTGTGGTTATTCTGACAGAATTTATTTTTTTATTATGCTGGGTTAAAACAAATCCCAGCATTTAAACGTGCTGGAGTACAGGTGACGTATACTCAAAGACAGATTATATGATATTATGTGTACTTTAAAAATCTTAACTGAGGAGTGTAACTGTACAGGAAACTACTTATAACTGTTAATGCCACTCAAGTTTTGCTAACTGTATTATTAAAACAACGGTTTTATTTTCCCCTTATATTAAGATGATTGTGTAATGAGAAGTGATGCTACGGCAGTTTGAGTCAAATCTGGAGATGAATGATCTGGTAGCTCTAAACGTATCGTAAATCGCTCCGCTACTGTGCTTTAGCTCTAGATCTGTAAAACAGTCTAATTTCATTCATTTTCCAGTTTGCGGATGTCGATTAGCCGTGGTGAAGTTAGTCAGCTGTAGAGGTAAAGGTTTGATTTCAGGGAGGGGGTTTGCTGGCTTCTCTAAACATTCACTTTGGCAGCAGGCGGTAAACACTTTCCTGGCGCATGAGTTAAACTCGTCAGATTTTACTGGTCTGATGTTCATCAGGACGTGCTCAGTCAGAGCTGCAGTCTTCCTCTGTTGTTATGAAATTGAAATGGGAACCAGTCAGCCTTCTGTGTGAAAATTTATTTAGTAAAATAATTAAATTCCCCTCGCGGTGATTTAAAAATATGTATCATCCATTATCAGGTCATTTTGTGGTTAAACGATTTGACCCAACAGACCAAACCTGCATGAAGATGTTCCAGCAGATAAACTCAATCCTCTGACATAGTCGTATACATGCTGCAGATCAAACGAGTCAAAACAAGTCTCTTGTGCAATAAGGCAGGAACCACGTTTCTGTAATTCCAAGAATTCAGACATTCTGGTTGAAAGCAATCCAAACCAGAGATGAGTTTTTACAACTTTTTCCAGAATAGAAATGCAGTTCAGGCCCAGATTGCAGTTTCAGAGTAAGTATTGTGTACTATTACACTCCTCTTTTTCCTCGTTACGTCAAACGTGTGCTGAAACTATTTCTGTTTTCATTGCCACAAGCTAACGCTGTAGTCCGATAGGAATAACTGGCATGAGGGGGACAACGAGTGCTTTTTGTTCCTCCAGGAACTTCCCGAATGTTAAATCTGGCAACGGGAAAGAACAGACTTCAGCAATCTCCTGACTTGAAGCTGAAAACCTGGGTGTGAAATATTAGCCTTATGTTTTTTTTTTATATATTCAGACCTGCCTGTTGGTTTATAGGTTTCATGTAGCAACTGGAAGCACTGGTTTATAGAGGAATCACTGGTTGTGTGAATGTGGAGATGTTCCTAGTGAAGATGCATTTACATTTGTACACATTTTATTTATTTATTTATTTGTGAGTAAGAATATGTGAAACGGGCTTCCAGCTGTGACCTGCAGCACTTAATGGGTTCATTTGTCCACAGAATCCATGTTCAGGTTCCTGATTTGTGTTTGTGCTACACGACTGTAAATACTCTGTATATTTATGCTAATGGACATCTAGAAATGACAGATCTATTTATAACGAGATGAACTTTTAGTTTACTTGTCTGAAGGCATTGCAATAAAATAGCACAAAACTGACCTCAGTTAAAGATTACGATTTTTAAAAGGGACAAAGTCACTTAGATGTCCTCTCCTATATTTCCCCCTCTCGTGCTGCCTGATCCCGTTTACTCCTAGCCCTAATCTCAACTCCTCTCCCACTGTGTGAAGTATTGAAATTCCTCTGGCTTTGGCTTAGAGACGTTTATTGTTCCGATCCGAGCTTATCAGCAACTTCTGCCTGTTGGTTTTAGTCCTGCAACGGAGTGATGATTAGACTTCTATGAAGGTTAAATATTTTCTAGTGAAACACGAGTTTTCCACACTGAGTCAACCTCTGATGGGTTATTGGAAGTGTTTGAAGATGAACTCAAGAGGAGCAAAGCAGAAGAAACAGGGGAAGGTAGTTAAATTATTATCTGTATATAAAATGTAAATAGGTTGCAGTTTCTTTGCACAAGGAGAAAGCAGACAGGGTTTGTGTTTCTTAAGTCAAGGACCTAAAATAAGATGAAAGAAATCCTCTGACTTCAGGCCTTGAATCTATTTTTCTTTAGAGTATTTAACAATAATTCAGACATAGATGAACATGTTTGGCTTTTTTTTTCCTGGAAGCCGTTTAGATGGAAGAATTTTGACTCCAAGCATGGATGATGTAAGTGAAAGTCTGTAAATACTGTTTTATATTTCCTGTAAGGCATTTGAGGAGATCGATGAGGTTAATAAACCTGAGGTATATTTCTCTACAGAAAACGTGTCTGCTTGATTTTTGTCCATCTGGAAAACCTGAGTTGTTGCACATTACAGATGTGGGAAATATTTACCGAACAGAAAACAGCTAAACGGTAACCACAATGCAGCAAGAGCATTGGCCACAGAGGAAGAGACACAGACATATTTTTAAGCTCTTGTTTGAGTGTATTTAAGCTAAAATGTGACAAACTTCATTACAATAAAAAATTACTAAAAACAGACAAGTACAATTATGCAGGGAATTAAAAAATAAATTAAATAGAAATATTTTAACAGGAACTAAAAGTACAGTAAAAAACAGAGAAGGTGCACAAGAAGAAAACAGGATCCCCTCCCGCTCTAGATCAGAAAGCTAAAATTGGGATTTTAAATGAATTATGTTAACATCACCAGTGCAGAGACATGTTATAAACATTTGAAATGTTGTACAAGAAGAAAGTAAAATCATGTACATCCCCACAACTTTGTGCTGAGGTTGTGACGTTAAAAAGGTTAAATTTGTAAAAAATAAATTACCAATTTTAAAATCCAAATAGCACACCCAATAGTATAATCTAAACTCTTTATAAGAGTTACAACTAGATATTTCTGTATAGCAGGGCTGTTCAATTCCATTCCTGGAGGCCCAGTATCCTGCATGTTTTAATGGTTTCTCTGCTCCAACACACTTGATTCAGTGGTTGAATCACCTGTGCAGCAGCTCATCAGGCTCTGCAGAAGCCTGTTAATTATTTAAATCAGGTGTGTTGAGTTAAAACTAAAATGGGCTGAACACCGGCCCTCCAGGCCCAGAACTGAATACACTGCTGTCACTTTTGATATTGGTGTGTGGGTAGGAGATCGTTCTTCAACACAGGCATGAGAAGCACTGTTCTTCATAAGTTTGACTTGTTTAAAAAGTAATAATGACCAGATTTTTACTTGATCAGAAGACCTATGCCCTCTGGGGCAATGTTCAGAGCTTCAGTCTTGTCAGATTGTTTTATATAAAAGAGAGTTTTTTTTTAACACTTGATAAATTCTGGTTGGAACTCGACTCATTCAGACAGAAGAACTCAAAATCTTTGAAAGAGCAGCACAGCAGCATGCCATCTTAGTAAAAGTGGTACAGAAATGAGTTTAGTTACCTGTCCTGGAGGATTTATTCATAGTAAAAACTAATAGTGTGCCCAAACCAGAGCCTTACCCCACAAATCAGAGCAAAGTCACAGTCAATTTTCTACATCAATTAAGAAATGTTTATCTTAAAGCATTGGATATTTACTTTCTAATGCCTTTACTGACTTGGTTGTAGCAAAAGACATTGCAGGCTATCTGCTCTATGTCTGACTTTTCTCCTCACTCCATTACACACACAAACCAGCCATTGTCAATATAAGCCAGGTCTGAGTACCCACTGGGCCCAGGGTTAAGGATCCAGGGGTTGCTCCATGCATTTGTATCCTTTGGAGATTTGTTCAGATACACGACTTGCTGGTTGGATGGGAGTAAAGCAGCCACTCACCCTGAGCTGGACCAGCCCCCTCAGGTTGAGCAGGAAAGGAGACAACACTCCCCTTACATCCATATCCAGTTTCAACAAGTTTACCAGCAGATGGAAGGATGATGAAATCCTCCCTGTCACTGTCACTGACTGCTTCCACTCAATAACCCCCTTCATTGCGAGTGTTGCAGTAGATGTACTCACCAGAAATCTCTGCCATTTCACACTCGACTGATTTTTCTTCAAGCATACTGCCAAATTGCCAAGTAATGCCCTTATCATTGCTATAAAGGCAGAGCGCACGTGAGACAGCACAGAAACAGGTTATACAAAAGCACGAGGGGGAGCAGGAACCATAAGCATAGGCTGGCACAATCAACCACGCTCTGTCTGAAGGCCATGCCCTGGCCCAACAGCATAAACAGCCCATGTTTTCATTTCAGGCAGTTTGTCAGATCTGTGACTTCGCTCCAGGTTTCGCCTCCATCCTTGGTGGTGATGTAGCAGAGTCTGACCTTGTTAATGCCCCAAAACCTCTGCCACTATTCAGAAACCGTGCCTTCGATGCAGACAAAAAAGAAGAAAAGTGTTTTTGTTGACTTTTCAGAAACCGGACAAGGATTCATCGGACGATACCCATCAAGGCGTACCTTCTCCACCACATTTCTGGACTCAGACCACTGAAATATAAACGTATCAGAGTGAACATCAGACATATATTTATTCTATTCTTCACAAATAATTTGAAATAAAACATTAACTTCACATAATTACCTTCACATTTTAGATTCTCCTCCTTGAACCGTCACCTTATTGTGCCCCTGGTCTCCCATGACAAAATGGTCTTAGGTGAAGGGTGAGACAAAGAACGTTCAGAGGATATTTCATGGATATAAAATCAATGAGCCCGGAGGGTTACTGGGGTCCCACCCTGGAGCTAGGCCTGGGGTTGGGGCCCGTGAGCGAGCGCCTGGTGGCTGGGCTTTCACCCATGGGGCCTGGCTGGGCCCAGCCCGAACCGGATACATGGGCTCATCCAACTGTGGACCCACCACATGAAGGGTCCGGTGCAGTGTGGATCGGGTGGCAGACCGAGGCTGGAGCTTTGGCGGTCCGATCTCCAGACATGGAAACTGGTTTTTGGGACATGGGACGTCACCTTGCTGGCAGGGAAGGAGCAGGAGCTTGTGGGAGAGGTTGAGCGGTACCGGCTAGATATAGTCGGACTCACCTCGACACATAGCATTGGCTCTGGAACCCAAGTCCTTGAGAGGGGTTGGACACTCTCCTTTGCTCCGGGTGAGAGGCGGAGGGCTGGGGTTGGCTTTTTGTTAGCCCCAAGACTCTCTGCCTGTGAGTTGGGGTTTACCCCGGGGACGAGAGGGTACCTTCCCTGCACCTTCGGGTCGGGGAACGGGTCCTGACTGTTGTTTGTGCTTATGGGCCAAATATCAGTTCAGAGTACCCACCCTTTTGGAGTCCCTGGGGTGAGTGCTAGATAGTGCTCCATCAGGGGACTCCATTGTCCTGCTGGGGGACTTCAATGCTCACGTGGGCAATGACAGCATGACCTGGAGGGGTGTGATTGGGAGGAACGGCCCACCTGATCTGAACTCGAGTGGGGTTTTGTTATTGGACTTCTGTGCAAGCCGCAGTTTGGCCATAACGAACACCATGTTCGAACATAAGGATGCCCATCGGTACACTTGGTACCAGGGCAGCCTAGGTCGCAGGTCGATGATAGACTTTGTAGACATATCATCTGACCTGCGGCCGTATGTTTTGGACACCCAAGTGAAGAGAGGAGCGGAGCTGTCAACTGATCACCACCTGGTGGTGAGTTGGATCAGATGACAGGGGAAGATGCCGCATAGACCTGGCAGACCCAAACGCATAGTGAGGGTCTGCTGGGAACGCCTGGCAGAAGAACCTGTCAGGACGGTCTTCAACTCCCACCTCCGGCAGAGCTTTGACCGCGTCCCGAGAGCAGTGGGGGACATCGACTCCGAGTGGGCCTTGTTCCACTCTGCGATTGTTGAGGCAGATGTTGCTAGCTGTGGTCGTAAGGTGGCTGGTGCCAGTCGTGGTGGCAACCCCCGTACCCGCTGGTGGACACCAGAGGTTCGGGAAGCCGTCAGGCTGAAGAAGCAAGCCTACAGGGCATGGCTGGTCTGTGGGTCTTCGGAGGCAGCAGACAGGTACTGGATAGCCAAGCGGGCTGCAGCAGTGGCAGTTGCTGAGGCAAAATCTCGGGCGTGGGAGGAGTTTGGTCAGGGCATGGAGAAAGACTATCGATCGGCTCCAAAGAGATTCTGGCAAACTGTCCGGCGCCTCAGGAGAGGGAGGCAGCAACACGCTCAACCTGTTTACAGTGGGGATGGGGAGCTGCTGACGTCAACTGGGGCTATAGTCGAACGGTGGAAGGAATACTTTGAAGAGCTCCTCAATCCCACCTACGCGCATTCCGAGGAGGAACCAGAGCCGGGAGACCTGGGGATGGACTGTCCAATCTCAGGGGCAGAAGTTGCTGAGGTAGTCAAACAACTACACAGCGGCGGAGCCCTGGGGGCGGATGAGATTCATCCTGGGTGTCTCAAGGCTATGGATGTTGTAGGGCTGTCATGGTTAACACATCTCTGCAACATTGCGTGGTCATCGGGGGCAGTTTCTGTGGAGTGGCAGACTGGGGTGGTGGTCCCCATCTTTAAGAAGGGTGACCTGAGGGTGTGTTCTAACTACAGGGGGATCACACTCCTCTGCCTCCCTGGAAAGGTCTACTCCATTGTACTGGAGAGGAGGGTCCGATCGATAGTTGAATCTCAGATTGAGGAGGAGCAATGTGGTTTTCGTCCTGGCCGTGGAACTGTGGACCAGCTCTATACCCTTGCAAGGGTGACGGAGGGGGCATGGGAGTTTGCCCAACCAATCCACCTGTGTTATGTGGATTTGGAGAAGGCTTATGACCGTGTCCCCAGGGGCACCCTGTGGGGGACGCTCCAGGAGTATGGGGTGGGTGGCTTTCTGTTAAGGGCCATTCAGTCCCTTTACCAGAGGAGCGTGAGTTTGGTCCGCATAGCCGGTAGTAAGTCGGACCTGTTCCCGGTGAGGGTTGGACTCCGCCAGGGCTGCCCTTTGTTACCGGTTCTGTTCATTACCTTAATGGACAGAATTTCTCGGTGCAGCCGTGGTGTGGAGTGTGTCGAGTTTGGTGGCAGGAGAATCTCGTCTCTGCTTTTTGCAGATGATGTGATCCTCCTAGCTTCATCCAGCTCTGATCTTCAGTTCTTGCTGGGTAGGGTCATGGCCGAGTGTGAAGCGGCTGGGATGAGGATCAGCACCTCCAAATCTGAGACAATGTTCTCGACTGGAAAAGGGTGGCTTGCCAACTCCGGGTCGGGAGAGAGGTCCTACCTCAAGTGGAGGAGTTTAAGGATCTCGGGGTCTTGTTCACGAGTGAGGGTAGGAGGGATCGGGAGATCGACAGGCGGATTGGTTCAGCGTCTGCAGTGATGCGGAC